AAAGTACAACCAAGGGAAGTTTCCCCAAGAACCCCTCCCTCAGAGGGGTGTGGAAAGATGAAATAGCTGCCACGTACACCTTGAGGGTGGAAGGGGAAAGACCAGCAGAGAACCGGTCCTGGAGGAACTCAAGTACCTGAACCACCGGGCAGGTAACAGGGTCCACCGACCGCTCCCTACACCAAGTGGAGAAAACACTCCACTTCAGGCCGTACATCCTCCGTGTGGACGGGGCCCTGGAGCTCAGGAGGGTCTCGACTGCTCCGGCTGTTAGACCCGCCTCTAGGTACTGTGCCCCCTCAGGGGCCAGACCCACAGTCGCCATATGGCGGGGCAAGGGTGAAGAACCCGGCCCTGCGCCTGGGACAGCAGGTCTCTCCTCAGAGGGACCCGCCACGGCGGGCCGTCCAGGAGCGACATGATGTCCGAGAACCACACCCGGGTTGGCCAGAACGGGGCTACGAGCAGTAGGCCGACATAGTCCTGGCGGACCCGCTCCAGAACCCCGGGAGCAGAGCGACTGGGGAAAAGCGTACAGACGTAGCCTCGGCCACGAATGTACCATGGCGTCCAGACCCAACGGGGCTGGAGGAACGAGAGAAACCATAGCGGGCAGTGCGTAGTCTCTTGAGACGCAAACAGATCCACGTCTATGGGGCCGAACTCTTCGCACAAGAGCTCCACCACTTCGGGGTGAAGTCTCCATTCCCCGGGCCTCAGCCCCTGCCTCAACAGCAGGTCTGCTCCCTGATTCTGTGTCCCCAGGAATACATCGCCCTGAGCGATAGTAACCTCTGCTGGGACCACAGGAGGATCTGACGCGCCAGTCTGTCCAGAGGGCGCGAGCGCAGACCGCCCTGGTGATTCAGATAGGCCACCACCGCTGTGTTGTTCTACTCAGAACGAACCAGGACGTGGTGGCCTTGGAGATCGGGCAGGAAACTCCTTAGAGCCTGGAACACCGCCAACATCTCGAGACAGTGATATGCCACTCGGATCGATGCACCTGCCAGGATCCCCTTGCAAAGCGGCCATCCATGACCGCGCCCCAGCCCGTGAGGGAGGCGTCTGTCGAAATAACCAGCCGGCGACAAGACCCTCCCAGCACGGGCCCCTGGGACAGGAACCAAGTTTCCTTCCAAACTGATAGGGAACGAAGACACTTGCGCGTAACCCAAACCAGACGGAGAGGATTCCCCTCGGGGAAAAACCCTTGTTCCTTAGCCACCACTGCAGGGGTCTCATGTGCAGCAGTCCAGATGGTATTACGCTGGACGCAGCCGCCAGGAGACCCAACACTCGTTGAAAGTGTTTCATAGTGATGGCGTGGCCTAACTTCACCCCTTTCACGGCAGCCAATATGGTGTCGACACGTGCCGGAGACAATTGTGCCCGCATCGTTGTCGAATCCCATGCAACCCCTAGGAACGCAGCCCGTTGGGTGGGCGCCAGCACGCTCTTCTTTGCGTAGAGCCTGAGCCCTAAACGCCGCAGACGAGCCAGAACGACATCTCGATTCCGAACCGCCAACTCTCGAGACTGGGCTAGGATGAGCCAGTCGTCGATGAAGTTGAAATCCGGATGCCCCGGAGCCTCAGCGGGGCCAGTGCTGCATCCATACACTTGGTGAATGTGCTAGGGGAAGTGCCAGGCCGAATGGAAGAACCCGATACTGGTAAGCCACACCCCCGAAGGCAAACCTCAGGAACTTCCTGTGAGAAGGACGGATGGAGACCTAGAAATAGGCGTCCTTTAGATCTATCGTGACGAACCAATCCTCAGATTGGATGTGCGTCACGGTGGCGGGGATGATGAGCATCTTTAACCTGAATCTCCTCAGAGACCGGTTAGAACCCGCAGATCCAAAATAGGGCACGCAGCCCTCCGTCCTTCTTGGGGACTATGAAGTCTCTGTCTGGGGGGGAGACACGTTCCACGGCCCCTTTCCTCAGCAGAGTACAAACTTCCTGTCCCAACACCGGACCTTGCTCCGGGCGGACCACAGTCCAAACCACCCCCTCTCTTCTGTTGAATTTGGAGGGCGGGCTTTGAACTGTAGTCGAAACCCATCTATGGCAGTGCGCAGGACCCGCGGAGAAATGTTCGTCAGGCTCCGCCAAGCGTCTGCAAAGTCTGCCAACGGAACCAGCCCCTCGGGGCTGGTGGTCGGTGTCTCGTGTAATCTTCTGGTGGACCCCTGAAGCCCCAGAACGGCAGGGGGGAGCCGCCGAAGATCCACGGTGAGTGAGTCGGGATGCCGTCCGTCTGCAGACCCTCGGGGCAGGCAGTACGGTGCGGACTCGATGGTGGCAGGTGCGTCCTGAACGTGTAAACGGCGGGATAACATCACCTGTTGCCACGGCGGAGGGGACCTCGGTCGGCCTCCGGGGGGGGTGGGGGGGGGTGCGGGAGGGGAGAAAGACTCCCCTACCCCGGTCTTCCCTGAGCTCCGTCGGGACTGGATGACGGTCCTCAGATCGCGTCTCTCAGACGGCTGAGGGTGAGAGCGCCGTCTCGCTGCCCCAGCTCCTCGGGGGGCCCCCGAGAAGCGACACTCTGCTTCCCTCCTCTCCGTAGGAGCTCGTAGAGGGAAGGGACCTACGCCTGGCAGCCTCAGCTGCCTTGGGTCCAGACCGGCGAGGGAGGTACTGGCGGAACGCTTCGCACTGCGTCTAACGCTTCGTGGTTCTGCGAAGCTCCGCCAGATCTTCCTCGGAGGGACCCCCCCTCTGAACCATCTCCTGTAGCAGGTTGGCTTGGTAGGCTTGAAGCACCGTGGTGTGCAAGCTCGCACCTGCCTGGCCCGCTGGCATGTACGCCTTCCCCACAAGCGTGGATGTGGTGCGACATGGTTTGGATGGTAACGCCGGCTTCTCCAGGGAGGACGCAAGTCGAGAGGAGAGATAGCTCGCAAGCTCATCCTCCACCCGAGGCATCCTCCCATAACCACGGTCCCTAACCCCCATCACATTACTGTAGTTCAGTGATCGGGGTGTGGAAAGCCATGTAGAGAAGGGTCTGCCCCATGATTTACTCAGTTCATCATGTAAATCAGGAAAGAATGGCAGAGACCGGCGTGGAGGTGGCGTGTGGTGCTTAAGAAACCTTTCATCAAGCTACCACTAGCCTGTGGTGTCTGCTCCTCCCGTGGCCAGTTGATGTTGAGCTTAGCCACGGCTCTAGTCACCACCTCCAGCAGCACATCATAGTCGGGCGCGGCCAGATGACGCCGCCCCGACACCCGGAAGTCATCGTCGACTGCGCTGAGCACGTCCGCCTCCTCGGAGTCGGATTGCTGCAGCGCCTCCGGATCCAAAACCGCGAGCGGGAGAAGCCGAGAACGGGCTCCCGAACGAGGAAAGGAAGCGTCGGAGCCAGCGGATGAAGGTCGGGAAAAAGCCTCAGCCGTCCCGAAATCCTCCGACAGATCACGCTGTGAACCCATGAGTGAAGCCGCCGGGCCGCCTCAGCGGCCGCAGGGCCCGCGCCACAGGGAAAACACATCCGGCCATCCTCGGAAAAGAGAGCCATGCGGGACCTCAGTACCCGCACGGAAAGGGCTTCGCAACGGGCGCAGGCAGCCCCCTCGAGAGCTGCCCGTGCGTGCTCCATTCCCAAACATGAGAGACACATCTCATGAGAATCTCCATCCGTGATGTACCGAGGGCAAGAAAAAACACACCTTCTGTACATCTGGTTGCCGGACATGCTGGTAGACTTCTTCTTCAGGTAAGACACACTGCTTGTAGGACTGGAGCTTTCTTCAAACAACATACAGAGCGCCTGCTGAATAAAAAAAAGCTAATGATGAGTGTGTACAGGTGTGCTTTATACTCCTCCGGTTATTCCGTCACACCTTACCGTTCTAGCAACAGGCCAATAGGATTGGAGTGATTTCATTCACGTTCAGACCTGCTTCGCCTAGAGGCGTTCCCATAGTGTCGTAACCGACGCAGTTCGAGTTCCCTCGAAGGGGAACTGCTTCGCCTAGAGGCGTTCCCATAGTGTCGTAACCGACGCAGTTCGAGTTCCCTCGAAGGGGAACCCTGTCAGGGCTCTGAAGTGGAGCGGACCCGGAACAACTCTCATCAGCTTTTAGCTGTAGACACTAGCAGGAGTAAAGTTACGATATAACTCACTGTTTAGCTACTTTCACACGCTATACATGTAGTTTACTTTTGTTGTCATATATATTAGATTATGTGCCAGAGGGAGGGGAGGGAGGCGGGGGGGTCCAAGGTCTGTGTTACTGAGGCCACTGGCCTCTGTTGGCACTCCCTCAAAACCGCCACAGGCATGAGGTATGACAAATACCACTGGAGACTTCCCCTGCAAGCACACTGGGTTTCCAAAAAAAAGAGCCACAGTGCATCAGGCAAAGCAGATAGTTTAAGTAGCCTATCATATTGTCAGCTTTTCACGCTACATCAATGAGAATCGGGATGAAATGTGGTTTCTGCTGTAATTTAATGGAAACAATCATCTAGAAGCCCATTTAAAAAAAAAACATCATATCAAGCATTTATTCCATATAAAAAGCTAATGGTTTCAATGTTTGATACAACTGCCCCTGGAAAAAACACAAATTGAAAAGCCACAGTTCACACATGAGTTATTTGACAAACACAAATTTTATTATAAGAATGGTATAAATTACTCAGTAAATCAGTTTTCTTTGACATATCAAGTGGTTTGTTTTGAAGTATTTCTTTGATCCACTTTGCAAATATGATGAATTTTTGGGCTTCCACTCTTATCTTAAAAAAAATGGATTACTCCTTTTATTGCAATAAAATGAATGATATTTAACTTGTTTTTGGTGAAAAACTTAATTTGACCTGGATATCTGTAAGTCAATATGCAGTAAGTTATCAACTTTGTATTACGGTCAGCCACACTCGAGTATTCATGCATGCAATATTCATGCAAATGTTACAAAAAGAAACTAGTAAGAACATCACATACACTAAATGAGTGCCCACATATTGGATTATGCTTACCTTACCATCTGTGGCCATTCTTGCAGAAAAGATGACTGAACAAGAGTTTAGAGAGAATTGCAACTACAGGACATTAATGGGAAGTTGACTTTGTACTTTGTACTAAAATAGTTTGGCAAAGATTCAGATGGGCAGGGAATCTTAACTACCTCTGGTTATTATGAGTAACTAGCTATTTTTCTTTAAAGATACTGCAGCCATGTTATCAGTTCCTTGAGTTTCCACCAAGCTAGCTCTTGTAAATGAGGTTTTTGATCTCAATGGGACTTCATGGTGACATAAAGGTAAAATAAAAAATATAAATAAATCACTTTTTATTTTCTTTTTAATAAAACAATCACCTCCAGACTATAGGACACTTTAGCGATTAAGCCATGGACTTATTAAAGAAGTTGGAGAACAGGCTTTAAAGGAATAGTTCAACATATTGGGAAATATGCTTGTTCGCTTTCTTGATGAGTTAGATTAAAAGGTCGTTCCCACTCCCATGGGATGGGGTCATGGGGAGGGGGGTATAACATGTTAAGATATATGTTAAGATGTTAAGATATACAAGATATAACATGTTAATTAGCAAGCTTTAGAGGTGGTGGTAGGTTAATTTTGTGATCGTTGGACAGAGCCTGGCTTGCTGATAGAGGTTTCTTGCATAATACTGCAGCAGTAGTAGAACATCAACCAGAGAGCACTTCCAAATTCTGCAATCCAGCCAGCCACCTGTCAGCTGTGTAAATCTACCTGTGTCATTACAGGCAGATTTAATCACCTGTTACTCATCACAGTTCTGTCTGCTCACATGCAGAAGTCACCTCTGAACTCTTTCATGTTCTCTACTGCACTTTTATGTCTATCAATTAAAATTTTACTTTTGTTTTTTCAGCCTGTTTTATTTTCCTTTTCAGTGTTTTAAAAAATGATTAAATGCATTTTGGTGTTATGTTAAGCATTCTGAAATGCCTGTGTTTAAAAGGTTCTTACAAGTAAATTTTAATTGTCTCTGTTCTGTTTTCTTGCAGCACAATTATAAAAATATGCAACAAATGGCAATCGCCCTTACATATCCCCTGGCACCCAGAGCTTTCACTGTTCTTTGATTTTACATGGTTTACAGTAGTCCAAGCCTCCATCTGTCATGTCTACCAGGACCTCCAGGATTGGCTTACTGTGGTCATTTGGGTTCACCTCATATGTAGCACTGAACTCTCGAGCAGTTTTTAACTTGTTATCCTGGCTTCCCCAGCTGCATAACAGTCCATGATTGCTGCAAGGCCCAGTGCTCCCAGGTTGACCTAGCCTCTCCTTAACCCCTACTTAAACATCTAGAGGGGACAAAACAAGATTGTTATTCTATGACATCTCCTCCTTTTTTCATACTATGCAGGTCTACAGCCAGGAGGCTAAACTGTGGGCTGTGCACAGCACAATGAGACAGATATCTGATTTTTTAACCAAAAGACACCAAATTCAAATGTTCTTTCCAACATTTGCTGTTCTGGATACATCCCAAAACACAACATTGGCTCAGTATTCATTTATTTGATTTTATGACTTCCTCATTTCTGGAAAGACCCTTCACAACTGCTACACATTAAATTATTATTAATGTAAACCCTTTATGACTCGCATTGTCAGTAAACTGGGGATACATTTTCTGTTTAAACCTCAAACACCGAAATTACAACCTTCAAAGCAAATTTTCACATGCATGCAGAGGGAAATCTTATACCTTAAAACTCTGACACTTGCACAAATAGTTGTAAAATATAATATTACACACTTTAGTTAATGTGAGAGCTGTAGGTCTCACACTTTATCTCTCGCTCTTTATTCTTTATTTATTATATATAAACACATTTTCAGCATATATCTTCTCCTGCTCTCCTCATACGTCTTGTTTATTACAGCCATGTGTAACGTCAACTACTGACGTAACGACACTTGCCATAGCCTTGTTGTTTCACTCCAAACCAGCTGATGGAAATGCACATATTTCACAATGTCTTTGTTTTTCTTTTTTGTGACATTTCAAAAGTACACGACAATTGGATGGAAACATGGCTACAGAATTGCTGTTAAAATGTGGCCAGACTATTTGCAGCCTATTTAAATAATTAATTAGCTATATTCTGCAGCTGCACCATGACCCCGCTCACTCAGCTCACAGAAATATTAGCATATAATCTCTGCTAACTAATGCACTTTGATACAGACTGAATCAATGACAAAATTAAACAGTGTGTCTGGCTCTGTAAGAGGGAGAAGACAGAGAGAAACTCTGTATTTGTTTAGGAAAACCTACCAGCAGGTTTACATAGTTAAAATAACCTCTTTCTGGAATGTAAAACCCAGTGTTTCCCTCATCTCATGGTTAAATAACTCAGACTAAACTGCTTAAACATGCTCTCCACCCGTGACGCCTGCGGAACGCAGGTCCCACTTGCATTGGGACACTAGGTGCGGCTTGCACCAGGGGGGCTTGAACCTCCTTAATACCTTCTTGCTATTCTAGTTTCAATTTGAGTTCAGTTAGATTTCAATTTGGCTGTGCGTGTCAGACGAGAGCAATTATGAACTGTAATCTCTTCACCATAAAATGCAGTTATATGGTCATTTAATTTAATTTAGTGTGCCTGTTGTTTAAATGCAATATCCTATCGTTAATTAATAATTCTTCGGGAAAGGGGGAAACACTGTTGGGGGAACATATCGTGGAGTTTATTCTAGCAGAATAATTACAATGTTGTCTGTTTAGTAAAGCAAACAGTAATATAATTTTGATTGGTCTGAGTAAATTGGAGCTCTAGCTATGAGTAACTGTTTAAACACAGTTTAATAAAGCATTCAGAGACTTGACAGACAATGCTGTGGACGCATAAATTCTGCGTATGATGTGCAATACAATGAAACCAGAACACAAACTAGGAAACCACAAATGCCATATGTTTAGTCCATTTATTCTGCTTTATAAACACTTTTAGCTTTTAGCTTTTGCGAATAGAATACGATTCTCACAATCTGCACATAATTCACTGAGTATTGTTGCTGTGTACTTATTGTGGAGAAACACTCAGGACTGTCCGGATGCTGTGGAACAGAAATAAAAGAGAAATGATCAGATATAGAATCATCATCCTCAGATTATCAATGTATCATTACCTATTCATTTATCTGTGTTGAATAGTCGAAGATGCGATGCTTTGATGGGAGAGCCTGATTCTACTGTAAGTCTCACAGTCAAAGCTTCACAGCAGCATTATGGAACGAGGATCATACCATTTTGGCAATATGGAGGTGCTCAACGTCTGATTTGTCACTGAACTACCGGTTTTCTCCCAAGTTAATATACAGCCATAATACAATATAAATATCAACATATAACGCTGTCAATAAAAATGTAAAAAGAACAATGCTTTAAATAAAGGTTTTTAAAGTGTGTGAATAAATCAAAAATTGTAACAATACCCTTGAGGAATGGGGGTCAGTGCGCAAGTGTGGGCGTAGCATGTATGTGTGTGTATGTGTCGGTATGTGTGAAGTGGCAGAAGAGAAACACTTGCTGAAGAGCACACAGACACACATTTGATTTGACTATCAGTCGATTACAGGCAAGACTTTACAATTCTGATTTGACTATGTAAATCCTTAGTCGGGGACAGCCCTGGTTACTGGTGAGTCATGAAAGGTGGAGAAAGCATAAACCTACCATTTGCTGTGCTTCATCAGTTCAATGGCATCATTGACCTGGTCCAAGGTCATGTTGTGAGTGATGAACTCATCCACCTTCAACTTCTTGTCCATGTAGGCTTTGCACATCTGAGTCACTCCATCCTTACCCTTAAAACCTAAGTCACAAAATCCCAAAATCAGAGCATGGAGTCTTATCCAGAACACGACTGGCTGGAGAAATGCAGAACATGAGCCCACAGTCATTTAGTTTGAGACTGACTAGTCAGTGGTCACATTTGTCTCACCTCCAAACAGGGAGCCCTTCCATGTGCGTCCAGCGATGAGCTGAATGGGTCTCGCTGCAGTGTCATGCAAGTCTGTCCAGCCAACAATCACACTGACACCCCAACCTTTCACACAAGACTCCAAGGCACTGCGCTGAATGGAGAAACGTCACAAAAGTTAGTGGTTTGAAACTGAATGGGTGCTGGTCCAAATCTCTGGGCTAGCTGAGGAAATGTGGGCTGGGTAACTTAATGAATGACGCTCAGCTCTTCTTCAATTGCTACTGCTGGGAAAGAGGAAGTGAACTCAGTTGATTTAGATAAGAATAAAAGGTTATTGTTTTAGGTAACACGGTACCTCTTCATTATATTCTCAAATCAGATGAAAGCTCCCTACCATGACTCCCACATTCCCGACACATTCCAGGGAGTAGTCCACTCCTCCGTTGGTCATCTCGGACACCACTTGGCTGATGGGTTTAGTGTGATCCTTGGGGTTCACGAAGTCAGTTGCGCCAAACACCTTGGCCTTCTCAAACTTCTCTGGATTTATGTCGACAGCGATAATCCTCTCGGCTCCTGCAGCCTTGCAGCCCATGACTGCAGCCAAACCCACAGCTCCCAGGCCAAACACAGCACACGTGGAGCCCGGTTCCACCTAAAGTCAAAAGACTTTGGTCAACATGGCACTTTAGTTTGAACTTCTTGATGCTTCATAATAAGCAACAGAAACGTGTCCCTTAATGAGTGATTGTTCTCTCAAAGACCTCCCCATCTTTTATATCACAATAATTGTCAACTTTATAGGCATGTAACACAAAACGTCCCATTCTGTTGTTTCAAGACACAAAACATGATGTACAGTCAAACATACACACCTTAGCAGTATTAACTGCTGCTCCATATCCTGTGCAGATCCCACATCCAAGGAGACAGACTTTGTCTAGAGGGGCAGCGGGGTCGATCTTAGCCAGAGCCATCTGGTTAACCACAGTGTACTCAGAGAAGGTACTGGTTCCCGTAAACTGCTGCACCTTCTTCCCCTTACAGGTGAACCTGGAATCTACTGATACCATCACATCTTGACGAAGAGTGGACCTGAACAATATTATTTTTGAGTATAAAATAACAACCTAAAACTTAATCACAGCGGTGCATTTGTCCTATGACAATGACT